ACTAAATAAAAGAGCATATAATGTGAAGGATGAACCAACCAAAATGGAGCCATTTTGTGTTAAAGTTAAGCTCAGCTCATTATAAGTGCAATATTAAATATATAATTGAATTGGATTCGATTAATTTACTCCTAGGGTCCAAATTTTCAATACTCATTTTGATGGTTTTATAGTTCTGATGGGTCTATGATTGTTAAGTTTATGATAAATTCTTTTATTTGATAGTAATTTGGAGATTTGTTCTTAGTCATTTCGATAGGCAGTAGAGTTAGTGAGTCATAGGAGACAAGATATAGTATAAGGGAATTAGACTTGTCTAGATCCGGAAATACCGACAAGTAAAAAAGTTTTATTAATAAATACTACGCGTTACCCATGTGACACTCAAGATTGTTAGATATCCAATTTAATAGGCGGAGAGATTTTACTATTACACAAATAATAGCTTAATGAGATTTTAAGGTAACCAGATACGATAATGTTGCATACCCCTATAATTTTAGCATAAAGGACAATGATCACTACAAATTTTATTATGAGGTCATTGGATCATTACTGAAGCATATTAAGCACAACGATTGTTTAGACGAGAAACTAATTAAGCTAGTAATGATCGCCTACAGAAGCCATACAATCTTTATTGGCATCCATTTAAGGAGTTTTGCTGATCAGCTTCTATGAACCCGCTGTGACATTGCCTTGCTGGTATATTATCAATAGACAATTCATTTTTCAAGAATTTCTGGAACCATTCTGCTGATTGCTTTGGGCGTCTTGCCAAGTTATCTTTATAGTCCACATAGAACAGACCAAACCTTGATGTGTATCCAATACTCCAATCATAGTTGTCCAAATATGACCATGCAAAGTAACCTTTCACATTAACGTTGTACTCCCTGCATCCAAAAATAATTTATCTACATACATTAATTCAATTATAGATTTAATGTTAGTGTTAATTGTTTGTTTCTTTACTTGTGTTAAAAGGTATCTTTGAATCATTTTATATGATCCAGTGAGACTAATAAGTTCTCTTGCGATGATTAATAACTTAAAATGATTAAGACTCACCTGATGGATCCAAGCACATTCCAAAGGTGTGCTTGATAATATTGTGTCCTCCATTGATCCTGAACAGCTTCCTCCGGGCTTTGGGTTTCGTTATTATGCTCATCAATCCCTAATTTAAGTTGTAGAAAAGTTGATTAATTTATATATTGCGCCATAAAATACTTGTATTTATTAACTAAAAATGGGTAAGTTATATATTAATGATCTCTTGATTTTCCATCTTAATTCATCTCGTCCCGAAAATCGGATATTCTCATCCAATTTTTACCTTAAGATTCTACATTTATCTGATCTCTCTCTTTATGAATCTTATATGATGTCCATGAAAATCAATTTCATCCTTTTAATTTTTAATTTTTTATGATACTAATCACTTGTTAAGGTAATAATAATATGAAAAAAATAAATTTATTTTTTTAAATATAAAATGGATCAATTAATTAAATAAACTTTTCAACATATACATTTCTTTTTTATTATTCTTGTTTATGTATTAAGTAAATTTCTCTGAATAAATTTTTATTTAATAAAAAAAATAGAAAGATTAATCCATACATAAGAAGACATTAACTGGAATCTAATTTCTGCTTATGTTTAATGCTATTATTATTTTAATTTTAAGATAATGTTGAGGATTATATCGAGTGTTAAAATGTGAATCAGCGTTAAAGTAATAGTAAAGTTAAACTCGGGATACTATCCCTTCATGTATTGAGAGTTCTATAATGCTATTCTTGCTTAATAAATTATCCCTTTTCATGTAAAAAAAAAAAAAAAAAAGTAAAGTTAAACTTAATAAGATGCATGTAAAACCAAAATTGTAGTGAGGTTTTTACTCATTTTGTTTTATTACACTTAATATTCTTATTAACTAGAAAGTAAAAAATAACATATATTCTATAATGATTTTAATAATAGATCAATAATTGAATTATTTGGCTTCATTTTTTTTATTTACTCAAATTTATATTGATGAATTTTGTTGATTGTAATTAATTTATAATTAATGAAATTTTATCCTTTTTTTAGTGCAAAAAAAATTTAGTAAAAATATGCGATATGTTGATTAATTCTTGACTTGACTCTTATTTTGTCTTATAGAACAAAATTTTCGTACTTTCTCATTTTAAAAAATAGGAGGAAATGGTACGAGACTACATATCTATTATAACGGGAGCAAAACTCCATTTTTTATGTCCCAACATTGAGATGAGACTTGAAATTATTTAATTTCATCCCAATCCGACCAATGCACACCCTAAACAACATTGCTAGAGTAAAAATTATTACTGCTATAGATCATGCAAAATTGTATATTAAGAAATTAAAATTTTACTACGAGAACAAGATTATCATTGGAATATATAATTCAATTAGAAAAAGATACGAACTTACCATTCTCAGTAATGTAAATGACTGGATTATCGTATTTATTTTTGGTGTGGTTCAATAAATATCTGATACCTTTAGGGTAAACGTAAAGCCAAGGTGAATGAGCCTGCAAATATTAATTAATATGTGCTACATTAGTAATATATTGTTAATTATTTTCAAAAATGCAATTCGAAGAATTCTCTTCATATATAGAGATAAATGTTAAACGCCAATGGTGATATGAGCCTGTCAAACATTATATAATTAATTATAGTGCATCACTTAGTAATATTTATATGTTAATATTTCTTCAATAAAATGCTTATTCGGAAAGAGAATTCTCTTCATACTCATAGTCTATATATATATACTTATTATATATATATATCACTATACATATATAACACTAACCGGTGGACCGATATGCTCACCATCTTCACCCAGAGCTGTGATTAAGTAAAATCAAAAAATTAAAATTATACTAGTCAACTGGGGAAAAACATCCACCAAAATATATAAATACTCACTAGTTTCAATAACTTGATGATCGGTTCTGTATCTAACACGGTTCGGATCAACTGGAGCATTTGATTTAGCATAAGTTGCAGTGTAGTATTGTACTCCAAGAAAATCATATGATTTTTTGAGTAACTGAGATTCCTTTAATGTCAATTTGAGTAATCTATCTCCAACTATATCTTGCACCCTCCTTGGGTAATGACCATAGGTTATAGGATTGTAAAACCTGATAATCATAATTCATGAAAAATGTATACATACATACATATATATATATATACATGAAAAAAGTATACCATACATAGCATAAATATATACTATCACTATGTCATAATATTAATATAGTATATATGATAACAAATATATATGATAACAATAATTGAAAAGCTTAAGAAATTTGGAAGAAAGACTTACAATCCATAACTGAAATCAAGAGCTGTTTCAGCTGCTTCTTTATCAGCTGTACTATCCGAGTAATTAAGGTTCATACCAAAGAGTAACATGTGCTAATCCAATCTTGCCATTTTGCGTTGTCTGCAATTAATAATGAAAATATAAGGAACTAAAATTAATCAAAATTTACCTTGTAAAATGTTCTGTACTAATTAATTAGTAAGATCAAACGCTATATACATTGTATTTTTCTCTATACACGTGATAAACTGCTGCATGCGAAAGGAGCAAATGATGTGCAACTATGTAAGGTTCAGTGGCGGAGTTTCCAGATCGACAGGCAGAATTCAACCATGCCGAGCATCGTGTTGGGACCGCGCGTACCATCCAACCCCGAATTAGTATGATATTGTCCGCTTTGGGCCAAGCCCGCACGGATTTGTTTTTGGGCACCTCCCAAAAGGCATTTGGATTTTTTGGGCACCCTCCAAAAGGCCTCAATAACTAAATGGGGTTGGGGTACTTGACCCCATTATATTTTGTTTGGTTCCTTTTTCTCACATTTTTCCAGATCGTGGAGACTTTTTTGGGGGAGAGAATTTTAAACGATCCCCCAAAACCCCAAAAACCCCTTCCACCACCCCCCCCCTCCTCCAACCAAAGGGACCAAACAAATCCGTGACCTCTCTCCTCCAGAGAGCATATCTGCCCACATACTCTAGTACCCGCCGGCTACAACTCTTGCGGGAAAACGCCTAGCCACGAACTCCTCGCCTCTGCTCGGGAAGACTAGTCTCCGACACAAGAGCACCCACTGTGCAGATCTATTCGAAATCCGTAGCTTGGTCCTGTTGTGTTTTACAACGTCACCAGACACCGAAACATTTTCTCCTCACACTTGCCGCAGCTCCGCGCTGGCTCCATCAGACCCGCTCCAAGAACTGGGCTCTTGATGACCACTTGTTGTGGACCGGGCGCGTGACCAAATCCAACTCCCGCAATTTAGTATAGATAGTTGATCACGCTTGTGGGCCAAAGCCCGCACGGATTGTAGTTTTTGGGCACACAACCTCCCAAAAGGGCCTCATACTAAATGGGGTTGGCGTTTGAAGCCCATTATAGTTTTGGTTCTTTTCTCAAAAGGCCTCATACTAATGGGTTGGGTTTGAACCATTATATTTTGGTTCTTTTTCTCACATTTTTCCGATGTGGGACTTGGGAGGATATCCCAACACATCGGCCAGGTGCATGAGCGCCAAAATCGTATGAAAATGAGATGTAAGACCACGGTTCATTTAAAGTGATCCAATACTTCACTCTGTCTCCAAATCTTCTGAAGCAAAGCTCTGCATAATCTTGGAAATCATCCCTGCATTTATAGTTCATTTCGTTTAATTAATTAAAAATTCTTCCAATATCGTAAAACTAATTAGCTGTCGTCTGATTGATCTTTTAACAACATCGGTATAAGAAATTTTGAGTTGGAGTCCTTACTATCGCATAAATTTCCATCAGTTGGTCCATTTTATGTGTGAACAAAAGGTTTCTGAATAACAAGCCTAAGAGATTTCTTATTGATGATAATGACAAAATTTGACGGGGCAGGCCAAATATTTATTGACATGAAATAATTATGTACTTACACGATAGAGCGGTTTAAAAAGCCACCATATTTATCTTGTAGGCCTTGAGGAAGATCCCAGTGGAAAAGAGTTACAAAAGGCGTTAGGCCTGCACGTTTAGCAGCATAATAAACTCTTATTTATGATTAAATTGAATATTAATATTAATATTAATTTTCCAAACTTTTAAGGAATTGAGAGATAAACAGATATTTTTAAGGAATTGAGAGATAAACAGATATTATCACCGTTTGCAATAGTTTCATTGATAACATTATTGTAGAATTCGATTCCTTGCTCATTCACTCCATCACGAATCCTTCCACCTTAATATTTCATAATTTCAAAATAAAAATTAGGACAAAATATATACATATCCTTAAAATTAATTAAAACTAAAATAAAATTTAACTTACTAGGTATTACTCTTGACCATGAAATGGAGAATCTGAACGCATCTAAGCCCATTTCTTTTATTCTTGCGATATCTTCCTGCAATTGTTTTTTTCACATCTTAATTATTAATTGATATCTTCCTGCAATTGTTTTTTTCACATCTTAATTATTAATTTATTTTTTGCACCAATATATATATATATATAAGCAAGGGAAGGTATGTACTCTATAGCGATTGTAAAAATCAACTGCCACATCACCATTGCTCGCATCGACTATTCTCTCTGTAAGATTTCAAAGAAATAATTAACAATTTTTCATCTAAATAAAAAAATAATTTGCATCTATAGAATAGTACATCTAAAATATATACATATAAATATACACTGATTTCAAAATAAGTTGCACTTATTAATTATAATAATTTTGTAATTGGATTCATATATAAAGTTTGGATTTAGATTTGATTAAAATCTATTATTTTGATTGTAATATTTTTAGATTTAATTTAAATGGAATTCATACCAACTTTTTGAAGATTTAAATATTGGTGGATTTAAAATTATTTTAAAATATTTATCGTTTCAAATACTGCCTACATATTCAGATCTTATATTCTAAATCAAATTATTTTAAACTTGTAAGGCTGGCTGAATATACATTTTATCATAATACTTGTTACATTTAAAATTTCAAATTCTTTAAGAAAACTATTAAATTTGTCTAAGTTACGATAAATTATTGAGTAAATTGATCATATTACCCTCAATTTAATACTAATTTTCTAAAAATCTATTAAATTGAAGTAATAATTATTGGTCCTGTATAAAGGGCAAACATGAAAAAATAAATTTATTACTCCTTAAAACCACAAATATGACAAGTATTTTAAAATAAACTATTTTTTCAAATGTGATACGTATTATGGAACGAATGTAGTATATATTTTAAACAATTTATATTTATGAGTCAAGGAAATATTAGAATAAGGCTTATAGAATAATGCACTTATAATCATTTTAATTAATGCCCTAATTAATGTAATATTAATGATATTGGTATATGATTGGCCATAAATTTATAATCAAAACAAAAGGATAAAAGCACTTGCATTGGTAGGTATATGTAATATATAAATGTCAAATAAACCAAGAAATTTATTGGTTGACTTTCCAATCAAAGAATGCATTTAAACAATATTAAAAAAATAATAGTTGCATATAAAATCATATAGAAATATTAATATATTTAAATCCGGTGCAATGTCGTTGATTTCCTTATATGAAGATCGAGATTTCAAGTTCAAATCCTCTATACCATAAGAGTTTTCATCAATTCAGTGAGATCAATGAAGAGTTATTGTTATTATATATAGCTCACAGTCTCAGCTCATTTAATTTTTCAATAAATAAATAAATAAGTTTTATATTGTAATATCTAAAAAGAAAAAGAAAAAGAGAAAGAACCTGGAAAGTCGCGGGTAAATTCATCCCAAGTACTAGGTCCTCTGCCGAACTTGTTTGCTGCACCTTCAATCTAAAGATATACCATATATTTATTGTTTATGCCCACTCAAAAAACATTAGATACTCTTATGTTTTGCATATGACATTATTTTTGTATTTCACGAATATTTCCACACTATTTGAGCATTGAGATTAGTTTTATTTTGGATTGGTGGCTATCCCTTTTTATAAATATTATTCTCTTGATTGAATATTTGATTTGTAAAGATTATTCGTTGAATCCAAATGCAGTGATAGAACCAAGATTTTTTTATAAGGAGGCGAAAATATATATACTTGTGATTTCATACTATGTGTGGAACTAAGAAATTAAACTTAATTTAAAAATAATATAATTGCACAAACAAATATATATTACATATGGTCACATTTTTTAATGAAAACATTATAAATAGCAATAAAATAATAAAGACATGTAATGCAGATAATGACTTTCAATATGAAAAAGTAATAACTTCCTAAAATTTACATATTAAAAATTACAATGAAAATAATAATTAATGTTTGTAACTTTAAATATATTATTATAATTTTAAAATTCAATCAATTTAATTTTATATTATTTTTATAGAGTTATGAATTATAAATTAAATCTATGTATTTTAACTAAATAACCAATAGTAAATAATTGAAATATAAATTTACGATACTATTGTATATTTTAATATTTATATAAATTTTTGTGTTTTCGTAGAATGGAAATAAATTCAAAACTAAAATTTAAAAAAAGAATGTAAAATTAAATAAATTAAATAAAATTAATTATGTAAATCATTCAACTAATTAACTTATGAAAATTATGGAAAGTGTGCTTGTTTATATATATATGAACTAACCAAAATAACTAGCTACAACTTATATTGTATATATATAAATTAACTAAAATTGTTTACATATAAAAATAAAAACTAACTATAATGTAAAGCTGTCATTCTGGGGGCAAAAGCAGCAGAATTATTACCAGCAAGCTACGGAGAATATAATTGTACCTAGCACGCCAAAAGATTTTATAGAGTTAAGGGTCGGACACCCAGCTTGTGTCTCATCACTTAAATCACTTTTAACAAATAACTATATAATTATCGATGGAGGGAGAGACCCTCTAACCAAAAATTTTTTTTGAAAAATTACCCTTTAAAATAGTAAATTAACTATTGAAATTTTTAATCCCTTGATCATAATTCATGGCTCTGACACTGTATATAACATTATTAATACATTATGTAATTGGAAGAAATTTTACTCTAAACATAAAAGAGAATTTTAATTATCTCTGGTAAGTACTTAATATATCCTGGCTAAGTTTAGATGGAATATGGAGTCTATCAGCTATGGTTAATGCTTGAAAATATTAAGTTTTTTTCTAGACAATATATGTATAAATAAAATAAAAATTATCTTTGCTGATAAAAAAAAAAAAAAAGAAAAAAAAAACCTATCTTGCTTGATATAAAAAAAAAAAAAGAAAAAAAAAAACCTGGTAAGCGGTGATAAAAAAAAAAAAAAAGAAAAAAAAAACCTGGTAAGCGGAGGTGGCTGTGCCAAAAGTGAAGCCAGGTGGGAAATAACTACGACTAAAATCATCTGGAATATCTTCTCCCAATATCCTTTCTGGCTCAGCAGGAGCCAACAAGCTTATTAGTAAGATTGCTAATGCTAATGCTTTACTACCACCCATACTGATGGTTATTGTAGTTTCGGCTTTCCCCGCAATTAATATCCATTTATATAGTCATGCAAGTCAACACGTCATCAATAATTGCATCTCATTCGATTAATTAATTAATATATTAATAAGATTTAAACCCCACTAAACAACATTTTTAGGAATATTAAAAAATATAAATGTGCTGTAATGATATCCAAAAATTTGATCTCAGTAATAAGATTTCTTTTTCTTTGTATATACAGCACTTTCAACGTTCATCTTTTCGGGAAATGATCAAACTTTAATTATATTATTATGAATAGTAAGAGTAATTTAGTTGAAATTTATATCCATCCTTGTTTAATCAATTTGAACTTTTTTTATAACTTTGTCCATTTAAATTTTTAAGATCTATTTTCTTTTTAAAGTCACGTTAATTTAGCGATTCATACCAGCAGATAGTGGTTGCTGCTGACTGATAACAGTTAATTATTGTTTGTATTTTGTAAAATTTTAATAACGGTTACTGTTAAAATATAAAATAATCGTTAAAAAATAATTTTTTTTGTATATTATATGATGTATAATGTATATATGCGGATTAATATTAATTATCTTAAAGACTTTTTCCACTAGTTATTTACATGAATTATTATAAAAAGATACTGTGAGAAAGTTAAAAAAAAAGGTAAAAATGAGACTATTATTTTGTAACAACTTGAAAAGGAAAAATGAAACTATAATTTGTAGACAGAATAAGTAATACATCTCATCTTTTTTTCATGTAAACCTTTTTAAATAAAAAAATTTTCCGTTTTTAACTATTACATTTTTAATTAACTATTAAAAAGCTCAAAATATGTGAATTTTAATAAAAGAAAAAAAAATTATCGATCAAGCTTGGTCTGATTAATATTTCCTTTAATATAAAATGAAATATCTCAAATTCGAATTCTCTTATCTTTAATAATTTTTATCAATTTAATAAATACAAGAGATTGGTGATTCATAATTATAATGCATTATGCTATTTTCATCCATCAAGACTCCAATTAAGAAAGGAGAAAGAGAGAGAAGTGACCTAACAGTAGTTGGAAGGTTACCAAACCCTAAATCATGAACCATTAAGATATAACAGATGCATCTTGCATTTATTGCATGCCATGTTTGACTTATGACATCGAATATTTAATTTGACACGTGTTCGATAAAAATCCATGTGGCATGCATAAACTAAGAGCATCCCCAATGCTCTCAGCACCCAAGAATATTGCTAAATCCTAATTAATTAAAATCCCAAAACCAAAAAAAGTTTAAATTCTAATTTTATTATTTTTAAAAAAACTCTCGTTATCCTTATTTGTTCTCTTCCACAAACAAGCACGACTTTCCAAAAATGAAATCCTAGAAACCAAACAGACTTCGCCAAAATGCATTTTAGATCCTTGGCCACCGCCTCCGCATCTAGTATAAATCCATGAAAGCAATTAATATTTTCATTTTAGATTTAATATCCTTATTTTAATAAATTAAAATAGTATTGTTTACAAAGAAACTAAAATTTGACCGTATCATTTTGACTACGTTTATTTTCCTGGAATAATTTACAAAAAATTATTTTTCTTAATTTTCCGTTGTTTGAAAGCGTTCATGAAAATAAATTAATGAAAAATATTATTCTGATTAAAGGAAAATTAAATACTTTTTAAAGAAAACGATTTTCAATTTTCAAGAGGGTAAAACATTTTTCAGATTTTGACAAATTTATTATAAACTTATATACCCATATTTTTTTCAATTTATTAATTATTGGTTCACTACCACCACTAACCTTTTAACACCAAACATCACCACTAGCCATTGTCGGCCACCAACACCGGTCACCGCTGACTTTCATAATTTATCATTTTTTTATTATTTTTATATTTAACGATAAAATTTTTAAAATACAAAATTTACATGTGTATTATTTTTATTTTTATGATTTTATGAAATAAAAATTTCAATATTTTAATTAATTTTTAAAATTGCAACCGACCAACGGAATTTAAAAAACTAATTCTAGATATCCTGGATCTAGTTATAAATATATTTTGCATTCCATACATCTCATGCGTGTAATTTTTAATTTTATAATCAATACAACATGTGCCATACAGAACACATGTGGGTGGACTACCTAAATTTAAATTAGGGTAAATAATTATGAGTAGTGTTAATTGGCTCGTGGTGATCCTAAATCATATCACTCAAAATGACAAATATAATATTAAGTGGTTTTGGATGGACAAACGGATAGGAAAGAAGCTTAATTTTAGAGAAAAATTTATTCATTAAATATATCTTCCCACTACTAACGATTCTTCTTCACTTTATCACATAATTAATTATGCGTGTTGTTGAAAATTATGACAAACATTAACTTTTTTTTTTTTTTTTAAACTATGACATACATTAATTTTTAAATTTAAAAAATTAGTTTTTGGTTCTTTTTGTTATGGTTAAATTGTTAGGTTTGCTAGTCATGCATGACTTAGCTAGGATTTTCAGTGAAAAAAGAAAAAAGAAATTGGGGAAGAAGAAGGGAGAAATCGAAAAGAAAGAGAGAAAGAATTATTCATTAATAAATTATCTGAAACCTCATTTTACTCTCTTGCTTTACATGGCATATAACTTGACTAATATTACTAAATGAGCAACACCTCTAACAACAATTATAAGGAAAGCCTAAAATTATCAAAATTATTACAATTATACCCAAATCACTATAAAAGTATCCAAATAAATTACAATAGAGTCTTAACATTAAACTGAGTCAAGCTAATCAAAATAATTTTTATAGTTCACTATAAAAGTATCCAAATAAATTACAATAGAGTCTTAACATTAAACTGAGTCAAGCTAATCAAAATAATTTTTATAGTTAATAAAAATTTTAAGCTAAAAATAAATTCTATAAGGATTGAACACGTCTAAATAATTATAAATTAATATATGAATACCTTTTTAATTTTTTAAGGAGGATATGAGTCCTGGCATATAAATCTTTTTAATAGAAAATTTTAAGCCTAACTCAATATAGAAATTTTATCAAAGTATGGATGCCTATTGATTGGTTATGCAATTTAATCAAAAAAACTTTTTGTAGTTAATAAAAATTTTAAGTTTAAAATCAATATAACCATGTTAAAAATTAATAATTAAAGTTTTCTTTATTGATTTAAGCCAACAAAGTTCTAAGTCAAACAGTTGATGTTAATTGATTAAGCAATTGAATGTGTCAATTGCTTCAATAATATAACGATGCAAAGCTGTTAATTTTTTCCATTATTGATAAAAGTACAAACAAATGGTAGAAATGCATTTAATTCATAGTGTGATTTAGATTATTAAATAAATTTATTCAATAATAACACATAATACATTTAAATCCATCTATAACATGAATGTTATTCTCGTTAGGGTATCTTATTTATGTATAATTCTTAATGTGGCTAAGTGTGACTTAATCAAATGTAATTTAATTTTTAATTCAAATTAGCTTGTTTAAATTTAATTTGATTCCAAGTATGTTTCAATTAAATGTAAATTAATTTCATTAAATTTAACTTATCTAAATTTAATTTGATTCAATTAAATTTGATTAATGAAGAAAATAAGTTTATAATTTAACACATAAAAATGGCATAATAAATGGTCCAAAATGACTTGATGCATAATAAATGTCAAAATGACTTGTACCGAGATTGATCCTAGGATTTTTCCTATATTCATACTCATGTGATAATATATGTTATATGTCATTTGGGCTATAATTCTCAAGTGTGACTTAATCAACGGCTACTTAATTTAATTCTAAGTAAGGTACTTTAATTTAATTTAATTCTAAGCGTAATTTAATTTAATTCAAATTAAGTTGTCTAAATTTAATTTCATTCAGGTGGTCATTTAAGTGTCTTAATTTAATTTGATTTTTAAATATAATTTAATAAATATAAATCAAGTATAATTTAATTTAATTTGATTTTAAATATTACTTAATAAAATATAAAATAACTATTTTAGACTTAAAATAAGAAAATGCATAAAAATGTTAGAATGAAAAGTTTGATCCTACGATCTTTCCTATACTCGTAATCATGCCAAACTATGTGCTTTAATGTCATTAAGTCAATAACAATTATTTACTTACTTTGGTCGATAAAATTATTTTATTAATTAAATGATATGCTCATAATGTTTGCTATTCTCTAATATTTTGGAATGTGACATTGAAAATAAAATTTGAAAAATAAAATAATAAAAGAAGAAAACTAGTCATGGTTGAGTTGGATTCTCTAATAATGGTTTATAAATTTCAAAATCAGGATGAATACTTTCTTGATATAGACTTTTTAAGAGACGTAAATATTTATTTTGCATTTCATAAAAATAAATTAAAAATATTGAAGTAAAATTTATTTTAATATAGTTTTTATATATTAAAGTAAAGAAAGTATATGAGTATTTTTAGTTATACAGAATAAAAACAATAAAAATTAAATAAATATGTCCATCAAAATGAAAATACATATCTTTATTACTTTTTTTTGGTCGACATTATTTCAACCTTGTTGTCCATGAGGAAAATTTTATAATCCATTACCTTTACTGCACCTTATCTTTATATATATATTAACCTTTACTGCACTTAATCTTATATATATATATATATATATATATTATATATATATATTATATAATTATATTATATATATATATATAGTATATAATTATTTTTTTTTTTTTGCTGATATTTTAAATTTGTTGTTTCTGTGCTTGGCAAAATGTATTGGTCCATAATATCTTAATTTAGTTTGATTCCAAATCTGACTTAATCACAATGAATCTAGTTTTCAAGTGTGAACAAATATGACTTATTCAATTGTTACTTAATTTAATTTTAATTTGAATATCTTAATTTAGTTTGATTCCAAACGTAATTAACCAAATGTAACTTAACAAAAAAAGATCAAGCTATAGAAAAATTG